GCTGAACCTGTTACAAAACCTGTTACTGAAATGAACTCGTGTTCCCCAGGAAATGAGGATCCTGACCTTGATTCGTAGAAACACCCTTGTTTAGAGGAGGGGAAGCAAGTTTGGGATTGTAGGGGCTTAAGGTGCCCTGTGAAAATGGGCCGTGCTGCAGCAGAGACATTTGATGGCTGTTGATGGCATGACACCTTTGACCCAGCGTCTTATAAAACCTTTCCTGCAGGCCCACAAAAGCTGCCGGGGCGTGTGTGCCCTCCTCCGGGCTGCTCCGAGCTGGGCATCCACTTGATTTTCAAGCAAAGCAGTAAGAGCGAGAAATTTCAATTTCAGAGCAGGTGACCCCAGAGAAGGTCTTGTACGGGTGCTTTGTCCCGCTGGGTTTCTGGTGCCCTGGCAGTGACGTCTGTGTCCTCTCTCGGCAGGTAACAGAGGAACCACAGCTGGGAGCTCAGGAGACGCGCTCGGGAAGGCACTAGCTTCAGTAAGAGTTTCTGCAGATCTTTGATTGCGTCCCTGTCCTGTCGCAGCATTGGACCTCCTCTCTGTAATAGGGACCCTCTAGGCAGCAGGGAAGATGGACACATTAAGAAGTTTGGGTGAATGCACCCCAAAAACACGGCAGCCTCTGAGGGGAGGGTTTTACCCCCTCTGTGTGCTGCCATCCTGAATCCTGGCGCTGTGCAAAAGCACCTTTTGGCAGATGGGGAAACTGAGGCACTGGACGTTATGGTGGCCCCACAGACCTATGTCTATGAGCCAGCTCTGTGGCCGCCCAGCCTGGTACTGGTCTGGCAAGATGACCCTACACAGCCCTCATACCAGGACTTGCAGGTCCCAGTAGTCCTGGCCCTGAGTGTGCTGGTTCAAACTGGAGGGCACCGGGCTGTCAGAGTTGGAGGTTGCCTCTGTCCCGTTCGGTGCAGGGACCTTTGCTTCTTCTGCATGGTGGCAGAAGGGCGCTCAACGCTGCACCCTGCAATAATTTCTTGGGGCTCTCGCTTCCCTCCGAGGTGGGACCTGAAAAACGGAGACTGTAGCTGCAGGGGTGGCGGCAAGTGGGGACAGAGAGAGACCCCGGCGTTAATGGGGGAGCTGCGGGGGGACTAGCGGGCTGGCCCATCACGCTGGTGTTGGTATGGGAAGGGAGGTGCCATCGGGTGGTCCTCGCTGCACCAGGGCTTGGCGGCGCTGCTGGGGAGGGGGAGAGCCATCGCAGGGGTGGGCGCTGCTGACTGTGCCCTGCTTCTCTCGCTCCAGATTTATTCCCCCGATCATTCTAGCAATAACTTCTCGTCAAACCCCTCTACACCGGTCGGCTCCCCTCAGGGGCTTGCAGGTAGGTGAAAAACATTGCTCTTTGTGTAAAGGGGTTTTTTTTTTTCAGGTTTGCTTACAGGAGGTCCAGATCAGCCCCAAACCCTCATTAAAGACACTTCTGGCAATCTCACCAAATCCCATTTATTTTTAAAAGCAGGAGAGTGAAGAGGAAGGACAAGCAAACTTGAAGATACTTTTTAAATGTCTCCTGTGAAGTTGCATGTCTGTTTGATTTAATCGGTTGTAGCTTCTCCCCAATTTGGAGCCGAGCAGTGCCCAGGAGTAGGCAAACGCCGCACACGTGAGGGCAGTGGCTCTGCCTGCGCCTGGCTTTGCCCCTGCAGAGGAGTTTTAGCAGGCGGCTCTGCCGGAGGCGCGAGCCTGGCCCACATGGTAGCACTGCTGCATGCTTGAGTTAAAGTGTCGCTGCCGCTCCCTGGGACCCGCTCCTGGGAACCCCTGCCGTTCAGACAGACCCTGTCCCTGAGCGTCCTGTCTTGGTGAGGCTGGGAGAGTTTGTCCCTGGTTTTATCTCCTGTAGGAGTGCAGTGGGAACTGGGAAGCAGCCAACTAGTTAAAAAACATTTTCAGTGCCCGACGAAAGCCCGTCTCTGCTCCCGTCAGGCGGGAGAGCTCTCATTTCTGCCCAGCAGAGCTGGCGCCGAGGCTCCTCGGTGCCTGGGGTGCAGAGCAACGTACACGCGCCAGCCCGCAGCTCCCCTGGGTTCGGAGCGAGCACAGCATGTGTGCTGG